TTAAAACATAATTATGATATAACATATATAGCATAGTATAACATAAATAACAGATGATAAATAATACAGACTGTAGACTAATGTGCGTTCAGTACCCGTATTTCATTTGGACAATGTCTTGCAAATTACTGAGTATTGCAAAACCGCTGTATCGCGATACCATCGTCACCGCGGGCAACGTATCATGATACTATCATATTGCGCTGTGAGTCCCACTGCTAACACTCACACAGAAACAGTGAGATAAGCGTGGTACTAGCCTTTGTGAACGTGTGCTAAGGGACATTTTCCTGAAGTGTTGTGTCCTCCACTAGAAAAAGAATTTAAGAGCGATGGATTAGGATTGCCCCAACCTGTTGACCCTTGGTCCTTGTAGCTTTGCGCTGTTCCATTATTGGCCTTAGTCTTGATATAAGTTTCTGTCACATAGACTAATGGGCAGCCCTGAGGTTTAATGATGTCTAAATGTAATTTATTTACCCTGGACACCTTGCACCCTCATCAATTTATCATTACACCTCGATTATACGACACACTGATGAGAAAACAAACTCCTCTACTCGGTAGCATTGCTCTCACAAACACTTTCACATAAAGTTTAGCTGTGATTTGCTCAGATCAAGAAAAAAAAAAAAAGACCAGTGGTTATATTAGCATACATTTATATGGTAATATTTGGATCCTTTTTTCCTTTCCCCTCTTTGGTCGGGCTGACTGACACTTTAGCATCTACACAGTCCAGAAGCCAAACAAAGCTATTTTTATGGATGGATCATTATACAAGAGCTGCATGGGGAATCTGTGAGAATGCAATCCAGGTGTCATTGCCCCTTGGTAATCTGTCTCGTCTTCAGGAATTCATTTTCTCAGCTGCTTCACTTCAAAATGACATTCTGACACCATTTACATGGAAATCATTTTGCCTCTTCATCTGTAATAGTGGCCTGTGTGCAGACAGGACCTCTCTGAGGGCTGCACTATTATCTGACTATAAACAGAGAGCAGAAAGAAAGAAAGAAAGAAAGAAAGAAAGAAAGAAAGAAAGAAAGAAAGAAAGAAAGAAAGAAATGAGAAGTGGGGAGATGCTAAAACATGCATTTTTCAGGGTTAAAGCCAAGGTCAGAGCTTTAGGTATTAAGGGATAAAGCAGCAATGGAGACACTGAGGGAAAGCATAATGTGGGAAATTCCTTTTTCTCCACTTAAACATGTATCCCTCTTCCCCCTCCCTCCCTTCCTCACTCACTATCTAATGCTTTCTTCCACACACACACATATACATGCACACACAAACACACACACACAAGAGCAAGAGATGTAAAGATTTTTTTTCCTGAAAGATAAAGAGAAATCCACTCGGAGAGCTCACACCTGAGTAGGTGTAGAGAGGAATACATATACAGTAGGATTCTGGATTCTGTTAAATGAGAAGTAGTTTGAACAGCTCTTTGTTTTGTGGCGGTCATCGGAATAAAAACAGCATTTTTCGACGCAATCACATAAACTAATATCTCTCAAGATCCAGAAAAAAATATATGCTGAAAAACTCTGCACATGCATATTCACTTGTGACCCCCACACATGAACGCACTCACAGATGCAATCCACAAACAAACACCGTACACGTCACAGATGGGATCATCTTGTCAAGTCATGAATCAGTGTGGGTGCGATAATAAACGTAAAAATTGTTTCCATATGAAAACCATGCATCACAATCATAAAAACTGCAGCAAGGTGTCACACTAGATCACTAGCAAATGTTATTCTTTTGATAAGACTAAATAAATATATGCGTGCTGACATCATGCCGTTTGTAAAATTCCTGTTTAAAGATATATGTGCTAAATTTAAGAGGAAAAAAACGAGCAAGCGAAGTCGAAGAATGAAGTTTATTTGACTGGATTAACACTGCCTCCACCTGGCACTACTGGAGCACTACTTGATGAAGAGCTTGTGGAGCTGCCCCAGAGCAGCAGTGGGTTGTGCACTACACTTCATGATACAAGTGAATATTAAAAAATATGTTCGTGAGCACCATTCAATAAATAATATATAGTTATAGCAAGGCCAGCCAGGACACCTCCACTGCTGCTAGAGTGTGTTGGAGGTTGCTGCCTAGCATAGGGCTGCAAATAATCATTATTCTCATTGTTGAATAATCTGTTACAGTCTTAATTAATCAGCTAGTTATTTGGTGTATTTAATGTTTTTTTGTTGTTGTTTTTTAAAAAAAAAAAACATATTCAGTTCACTGTTATTGAGAAGTAAAGAAACTATAAAATATTGAGGTATGAATCCATCAAATTTTTACTTTTTTAGTTCCATCCATCCATCCATTATCTATACACCGCTACATCCTCACTAGGGTCACAGGGGGCTGGAAGCTATCCCAACTGACTTAGGCCAGGTCACCAGTCTATCACAGGGCCACACTTAGAGAAAGACAACCAAGCACACTCACATTCACACTTATGGACAATTTAGAATCACCAATTAACCTCAACATGTTTTTGGACCTTGTGGGAGGAAGCCGGAGAACCCGGAGAGAACCCACGCTGCACGGAGAGAACATGCAAACTCCACGCAGAAACCACGTCCTAATCAGGATGCGAACCAGGGATCTTCTAGCTGCGAGGCAACGGTGCAAACCACTGCACCACCTTGCAGCCTACTTTTTTAATTGAAAAGAAAAATTACTCAAATGAAAAGGGGACATGCAGAAATCTGGAAAAGGAAAAGAAAGAAAAAAAAAGAATCTGAAAATGCATCCTTCCTACTCTACTCTCTGTTCTATACCTCTCACAACAGATGAGCATGAGCGTATGCATGCGCTTCAAATGCACAAACAGTTAAACTAAACATTTTCACAGGGCTTCAGATGGGATTTAAACTCTAATCTTCAATGTGGAAATCCTCTATTTAACCCATTGCACCGCTACGTCCTGCTCTCACTGTGGAGCTGCTTTTTACACTATTTCACCTGCTCTGGATAAAAAGACCAACGATTAGCTTAAGTCTCCCATCAAGGGTTGGATTCTTTAATGCCTGAACAGAGTAAGGAGGAGGTGCAGGAGTTTAGTCTCTTCTCAAACCACTTGAAGTGAAACATGCTGAAATGTTTTTATGCAATGTTTTCAGTTTACTTCAGTTTTAATAAGCTATCAAACTGGTTATCGGTTATTATAATAACTGGCAACTAATAAAACAAAACAACAAAACGGTTATGACAAATTTTTAAGGCATTAGTTTACTATTAAAGTAGGTAACAGTATATAGGCCTGGCTTAGTTTTAAGTTAACTTAGTCTACAAGTATTATTAGTGGAAATTTCCTAATATGTAAACACCTCATGAAAGCTGTAGCATTGCTTCTGAATATATGAATAGATTAGTGAGTGACATAGCTGCCAGTTACAACCTAATACAGACTAATTAACCAGCTTTATTTGATCATGTTTGGTCTAAACTGGCAGTACTTTTATTCTGCACTTTTTTCACTTAATCTAATCATTATATATTTTATCTTTACAGTGTTTATACTATTGTCGATAATAATATATTAATCCTTTTACAATCTCACGAATGTCATTAAAACCTAACAGCTCAAGTCTAACTGTTATGATTGCACTCTTACAGCAAACATCAACGCAAAAGTTAAGATGAGCTATAAATTAATACTTAAGTAAGTCTGGGCAAAAACAAAGTGCGGCACTATGACTGACAACTCTGAGCTTGATTCAAAATTCATGACATTTACCATCATCATGAATGAAAAATGACAACATAAAATCCAATTAGAATAGAATAGAATAGAATAGAATAGAACTTTACTGATCCCTTTGGTGCAAACCTCAGGGAAATTGTTGTACTAGAAAACAACAACACAACAACCACACAACATCAGCAACAATAGTAACAACAATAGTAACAATAACAATTGATTGCTAATTAATTGTAATTAGCACTCAGACTTGACTTACAGTAGAGTTATTCAACATTAACATCAAAATAAATTGAGGCCACAGTTTATATACAGTTTTTAATCTATAAAACTAATGTACAATGTGAAGCAATCACTGCAATCAAGTGTTTTCTGTAACTCTCAGTCAGACGTCTGCACCTGTCCACAGGTATTTTGGCTCACTGCTCATCAGCAAAGTGCTCTAATTTGTCCGGGACAGTTTTGTTTGTTTTTTTAAATTATTCTTTTCAACCACAATTCAAAAGCAATGTCTCATTTCCCTAAATCACAATTTAACATTTTTTTTATTTATTTATTATAACTTTTTTTTCAGTTTGTAGATATTTGAGTGACAATTGTGAATTTTACCTTTTCTTTAATGGAAGGATATGAATAAATATGAGGACGACGGTACAGTTTGCTTGAGGTTATTCTATAACAATTTCCCTGAGGTACCCTACCAAAGGGATCAATAAAGTTCTGTCTAGTCTAATCTAAAATAAATGCGCACTTTATTCGACTTCTCTTAACTGTGTGTATTTTTTTTTGCATAATTTTATGTTGCTGCTTTATTGTGCTGTATTTTCTATTTTATCTTCACCTGTAAAACATGTTAAATAGCTTCTGTGTATGATGAGGTGCTGTACAAGCACATTTACGTACTTGCCTGTTATTGTCCCAACAGGAAAACATGTTGTATTCTGCTTCAGCGATACAGAAGTGAAGTGTTCTCATCTCTTGAAAACTGAGTTTAAAAAATTGACGAGTGAGTGTAGCAATGCACAAGGGAACAGCTGTGATTTATCTGGGCTCACATTTCAAGATTATGGGCAGTTTTTTGGAGGCCTGCAATGCGATGGTTTCATGTAATGTCAATGTTTTCGAGCTGCAGTGAAGGCAGCACCGCAGCCCCGCGTGCCCAGCTGATAGGCAGAGCAGCGTGACGTCATCACGTACAGCGGGACGTCTCGGAGAAGATAAACAAAAAGGAAGGAAGCCTTCGGCGACACAATCGCGGCAAAATCGGTTCAAAATTTTAGCTTGCGAGCTATAGTTAGCAACTACATGCACTCTTTTATTGCTTAGGTAGTTGCTATTACGCGTTCGCGGCCATGGACGACGCAATAATATTCCGTATGAGCGCGTTTTCCGAGCAAGGAGGCAGAAAATACATGGAGGATGTTGTCGAGATAAGAATCGAGTACGAGCCGACGCCGTCGCCAGTCGAAGATTATCCAAAGTCGCAGAGACATGGAGGGCAGGGAAAGGAGGAGAGCGAGCCCACCGAACAGACTGAAAACGAGACGCACGGCCACAAGGTAGCTGCCGAGTCGGGTCCAGCCTCTGCCGTGTGGGTAGAGAGTTTATCAGAGGAGGACAACGGCGGCAACATCAGCGCACCGGGACCCGACGGAAAAGACGCAGAGCGTGTTGTCGACACCCGGCGGTCCGTGGCGTTTTTCGCCGTGTTCGACGGCCACGGGGGTCGAGAAGCGGCGCATTTCGCGAGAGAGAACCTGTGGGGTTTGTTGAAAAGGCAGCGGGGCTTTTGGTCGAAGGATCACAGTGAAGTGTGCGCTGCTCTTCGGAAGGGATTCATCGCCTGTCATCACGCAATGTGGAAAGAGCTGCGTAAGTCATTCAAGTCAGCTTTGCTTGTGCTCTCCCCCTCTCGCGTATTAACGCGTATTGCTCGAGATGCTTGACATTAGGAGGAGCATTGCTAGATAGCAAACTGTCACATGAGGCAGCAGCATCCTGCTCAGCTGGTGTGATGATGCCCGGTCCTCTGCTGACTGGCCAATCCCTGTACAAATGAGCAGGGAGCTGTCATCTGACCGCGACTCACTGATAACCCCTGATGTCTCAGCATGGCAGTGAATACGAGTGGAGCTAGGGTTAAACGTAGGAAAACATTCTGTAATCCCGGTTTATAGAACATAAATGACTGAGCATTTGCAATCTGGGTCTGTGTATTATAAAAGCCACAGTGCTGTAGATCAGTGTTTAAAGAACTGTGCAGCAATAAGGCACTGATCGGGTGGAATCTGGAGAAAATGCCATGTATATGTCACAGTTTGCAAATCTGCATGGGCAGAACTAAAATTTTGATTCCACCTAGACCAAATTAAAATCCTTCTAATATCATATTGAGATTGTAGTCCTGCCTGGGCAAATTTTACATATGCCAAGGCAGAATAAAAATTTTGATTTCATCTAGACCAAATTGAAATCATCCTTGTAACAAACTAAGATTGTAATCCTGTCTTGGCAGGTTTAAAATCTGACCACACCAAATTAAAAATCTAAATAAAATCAGAAATATAAGCTTGATTTCACCTAGACCAAAGTAAAACCATTTATTCATATGTAGTGCTTGTACCAGTGCTGTGTGACTGTTAAACATGACAAAAGACGTCTCACACCTCTTCATATGTATTTGAATGCAAATGTTTGTGTGACCCTTTGATGGTTACGGCGTTAAAGAATGTGAGCTTCACACCATGGTGACGTGTCGAGGTTACATCAGATTAACACCTTGCAGTGTGTCACAGCTCACTATATGTTTGTCACAGTTCAAATTAAAATCTACCCCGGCAGGATTACAATCTCATAATGATATAAGAATGATTTTAATTTGGTGTTAGTGAAATCAAAATTTTTTTTCTTCCGAGGCAGATTTAAAATCAGCCTTGACTTTAATTTGGACTGTGACATATACATTTGTCTTAACCGTAAGAAAACACATCACTTAAACCTGCACAATGTGTTGTTTCAGCATCGACATCACAATGTGCACATGTGCCATAGTCTCACTGCAGAAGTAAGGCAAATTAGCACAAACACATCATGCTACAATATTTTTTACTGCTTGATACAAAAAGAAAACACACAGAGAAAGTCTGTCTGATAGCACATCATTTACTCTGATTTAAGGGTTATTTACAAAGAGCTAAGAGAGTTTGTTCACATGCAGGTCTCACCTGTGTGCAACAAAATGAGAACAGGAACAGGAGTGAAACACTGAAAATAGAAATTTGATTGCAAAAAATGGTTAATGGTAAATGGTCTGCACTTATATAGCGCTTTTCTACCTTTACAGTGTTTCTCATTCACCCATTCACACACACATTCATACACCAATGGCGACAGAGCTGCCATGCAAGGCACTAATCTGCCATTGGGAGCCATTTGGGGTTCAGTGTCTTGCCCAAGGACACTTCGGCATGTGGGGGGAACCGGGGATTGAAACGCCAACCTTGCCATCAGTGGACAACCCGCTCTACCACCTGAGCCACAGCCGCATCAAAAATAAAATGTAACATCAGTTGTATGGAAACATATCAGCTACAGAGCAGATGCTGCCAACTGAAAACACGTCCTCCGTGGACAGAGAGTTGAAATTGCTACCACTTCGTAAACCAATACAACTAGTGATGCACAATATTAAAATTTCTGGCCGGTACCGACATCGAGATTTCTGATATCGCTGATAACCATTATTACCAATGTCGATATTCAATTTTTGTTCGCACCAAAAAATGTGTGTAATTAATCACTGTGAGAATGGGAAAACTATTCAAAAGAAGCCCATACCAGATTAGACCACATAGTCTTCTTTGTTACGTAACAAAAGTAAAACATATTTTAACATATTTAACGTTCAAGTCCAGGAGCATTTAAGTAAAAACATCTGTGAAATAGCAGCAATATCAAACGTAGAGACGAAGGCACTGATGTTCAACAATCGTCAGTTTTTCACATCAGCTAAATTTGTTCATCGGACCGATACCGATATATCGGAAAAAACACTAACGTCGGCCGATACCGCTGTGGTCGCTGATATATCGTGCATCCCTAAATACGACAATTTAATTTTTAATTTTTAAAAATATTTTAACAAGGCACAACAAAGCTCTGTATGATGAGAGCAAATGCCATCCAAAGCAAAAACAAACTATGTGGATGCCTGTGGCCAGTGCTACAGCATACGAGAACGTTTCAAATGACTGTTTTTATATTTTTTATGTCATTTTTTCTAATGTTGTGCAGCCCTCGTTTCACTTGTCATCAAATCTAAAACTACCTACTGAAAAACTGTGACTATATTTGATCTATAAGTAACAATATTAAATCCTATTTTCATCTTTCTATTTACCTTTTCCCCCTCACAGCGGAGTGGCCAAAGACCATCACGGGCCTGCCGAGTACATCGGGCACCACAGCCAGCGTTATCGTGATCCGCGGAGTCCACATGTACGTTGCCCATGTAGGGGATTCGGCAGTAGTGGTGGGAGTGAAAGAAAATGACTCTGATATCATGCTCCAGGCGCTTGAAGTAACACAGGACCATAAACCAGAACTTCCTAAAGAAAAAGAAAGGATTGAACGACTGGGTGGCAGGTGAGTTGAGAACAAAACGTCTTCTGTGGAAGCGTTTGTCAAGAAGGTCAAGTGCTTTGTCAAAAAGCCAAATAGTATCAGATGGAGGGCAGAGGTGGTGACATCTGTTAGTTCCAGAACAGCTGTGTCCTCTGTAAGGCTGAGTTGTGAAGTTAATTACTGTGTTTGTCTTGTAACTGTAGTGTAATGAAGAAATCTGGGGTGAACCGTGTCGTGTGGAAGAGGCCCAGGCTGACCCATAACGGTCCTGTGAGGAGGAGTACAGTCATCGACCAGATCCCGTTCCTGGCTGTCGCCCGATCCCTCGGTAAGCAACATAACTGTTTCTTTTCGTCAAGATTACTATCCATCAAACTATACTAAATATTCGCAATGGATTTCTTTTTATTGAATTATTCCACCAAATTAATCATGATTTCTTATCTGTCGACAGGTGACCTCTGGAGCTATGACTTCTACAGCGGGGAGTTTGTGGTTTCTCCAGAGCCCGACACCACCGTGATGACCCTCGATCCCAAACGGCATCGCTACATTATCCTCGGCAGCGACGGACTGTGGAACATGATGCCGCCCAAGAATGCTGTTAATATGTGTTATAGCCATGACAAAATGGTGGTATGTAATGGTTCAACTATGACACACATCCACACGCAGTTTGGAATGCGGTTCGAAGTTTGAAATTGTTACAGTTGTCAGAGCATGAAGTATGTGGAGTGTTTTTGTCCAAACAGGATTGCTCTGCCTCGATCTTCATGCTTGTTTGAGTCTAGGAGCATAAAATCGCTGTTAAAATGTGTTTTCTTTCTCCTTTTGCTATCGATTTCTTAAGGGACCAAAAGGAATGTCTTGCGCCCGCCGGCTGGGATGCACAGCTTTACTGTTTTGGAAGGAACGCATGCTACGTGCTGACAACACAACAGTCATTGTGTTGGCCCTGCAGGAGCGTGGGGGCCCGCCTATCCCTATGCATCGAGATGAGATAGTTGTTGACATGGCGACAGGAATTGACCATGTTCCATACCCAGGAACTACTTATAACACGTGTGAGGTCCCAAAGGTCAGTGCCCTAAATTCCTCTCCGCGTTCTCCTTCTGTAATGTGTTATTAGGACAAACCATACAAACCATGAATGTAAATGACAGATATTTTCCAAACGCAGAGTCGCTGCTGGGAAAAGTCCCTCAGGTTCACTCTGACAATGGAATAATATACTGAATATTTCTGTGTGTTTGTTTGTTGTTTGCTATCCACTGTACTGTCTTTTCTATATTTCAATTCATTTTTATTGTCATTTTAATACTTTCACCAGTTAAAATATGATGGTTCCTAGGCACCAGTAGCTGTTGACCTAAGGTCACACCAGCAGCTTCCATCAGGGGACCATTGGTTCACCAAATCATTCTTTGTTTTCGGGGCCAACAGGCGGAGCATGAGGATGGCATGTTTTATGAAGAAGATGAGATTTTTGGAGAAGAACATGAGGGATGGACATGCCTGGAGTGGTAGTGAGGTGACTGCTCAGTAATAAAAATGTGTCGAATTGTCAGAAAAATTACCAGATTTGTCTAACAGCACAAGATCCAGGCTGGTCTTGTTGAATCTTGTGGCGAAATTCAGCTGTTTGGATGTAAGAGTGGCAAAATTTTCTTACAGATGTTTAGTCTAAAGAGCTTGAGAACAATGGTGTCATTAGCTACAGTACTAGTAGTGTTTTAGTTCTGTAATAGGACTCTAGAGCGTTCTGTATTTATCAAAGTCATCCATGAAAGTGAGTTCAAGTACTCAAAAACACTCTTAGTTAAAGATGGTTGTCATCACTAGTGCCCCCGTAAACATCGTCTTCATTTTATACTTTAAATGCTATGGTAATATCATGGGTGCAGCCAAGAGAGACGGTGAAAAGGCACAACAGATTAGTCCCAAGTAGAGGAGCTAACAGTTGATTTAAATCTAAATAATTAAGTTCACAAAGTTTGTGCCACTTTACTAACGTAAAAGTCTGTTTTGAAGGATCAGTCTGTTGTCACTCTTTTCATTTTGCCAAAAACATATTTCAAATCTAATAAAATAATGTTAACTTTTGCTATGTTAATTCAGTGCCAGTGAAAAAACACACAAATTTAAGCATCTGTCAGTCTGTGTAAGAGGATAGCGCTGCTGTGGATGATTGGTCTTTATAAAAACAACTGGCTTTGGTTAAACAAAATTGCCTAATTTAGAAATGTTCTCTGAATGCCATCTGTAGCAGCTCACCTAACGTTGTAGGACTAGCGTTGGAAGACTGGGTAAACAACATACACTTTCCAAGGAGAGAATGACTGTTAGAAGAGACCATTTGACTTATTTAAAGCTTGGGTAGGCAGGAATCTGGAAAAGGCACAAATACAAAACAAAAAAATAAATGATTAATAATTCAGCACTCCTTGCCAGTGTGCATTTCTGACCATTGTTACCCACAGTTCTTTGTACAGTTACATCACGTACGTTGCATTGTCTCATGTGAGTAGAAACGAGCTTAAGCAGCCGAGAGCACACAGTTGACAGTTCATTTAGTGCTACAGACTGAGATGGTCAAAGCTTAAGATGCATTATTATGAAAGTACCGCACAGTGCATACTTTGTAAAGGCAACTGCAGTACATGCTTAAAGTAACAAAAATAAATAAATAAATAGCCACAGCTGCAAGTGGGAGCCTTAGTCTATGATTAGTGGGAGGCTACGTTTTTAGCAATATTCAGCAACGTTGCTAACTGTCATGGTAAATCTACCTCCACAGCCTAACCAAACACTACAACACATTTAGATATTACTGTAAAATCAAGCTCGCTGCTCATCTGTTCAGGAGAAGAGTTGATCTTACTGGACATAACTCCAGTTCTAAAAGTACGTATTTCCAATATTGGCACTGTTAATGTGCATTTATTGATTAATGGCTTTTTTTTTTATATGTCTTCCTTCCTTGTTAAGGTTGAAGTGTAGACAGTTGTTGCTAATGATGGAAAGGAAACTTTTCCTGCAGCTTTTTCTGCAATTGAATCAAGCCTTCTACCATTTGAAGGGATGCACATTTGTAAAACAAATAATGGGAACAACACATTCTCTCCTCACAGACTTGTGATTGGCCATCTGTCTGTTTAACTCTAGTTTCCCTCCAGACCACTTTAAAGTACAAAATGCTAAAAGGTTATTATATAATTCTTACTCAGTGAGGCCCCAGAAAACACTGCTTACCCCAGCTTTAAGCTAACAGCTATAACAGAGAGCTTTGATACGCGTCTACTGACTTGATCATTCTTCTATAGTTACTGTCTACATTCTCTACAATCCACATTATTCACTTGTGCATGCAGTACACTCAAAACTCAGTGTTGGTCCATTTGAACATATCTTAACCCAGTATTGTTTGAAATAACTGTTCATCTCCATGAGTTTAGTCTTTGTCCATTTGTAACAGCTTCCATCAGTGTGTCTCATTTTTTAGTGTTAGGCTGATGAACGGAAAGTTAAAGCTTCTTGTATTTTATTAGCAGCTCAGGTCAGCACCTAAAACACTGTCAATTGCATTTTAATAAAATGTTATTTTTGATTTGCTTCATTTGGGCAGAGTGATGCAGAGAATGCTCCGTCACCGTTCAAAGAAAGACCCACAGCTCTGGAGCAGGCATTTGGGCTGTATGAAGCAGCTTTCTGTGCCACCACGCAGCTCTTACCTGACGTAGACTCTGTAAGGGCCACACTGCCCCCTGCAGAAGGTTCAGTGAATGTTTTCGAAACGCAAGACCCAACAACCCAAATGGACTGTACGACTTCTCCTCCGTTAAAAAGGTCTCGCCGTTGTTCAAGCGCCTCCCCAGAACTCAAAGGTCCTGCTCGTCGGCTCGGCCGGCCCCCAAACAAAAGTCTGTCCCAGAAGACACCTCACAGCAAAATACCAAGTGAACAATCCCGGCAAACTCGTGCTCAAAACAGAGAAAGGAGCTCCTCCGAGGAGCGCGGCATCCTAGCACAGCACCACAACGCTGCCTTGTGTGTGTGCTGAAGCTCGTCAAGTGTGTTTTTTTGTCCTGACACTAAAATAATAATCAGCATCGTGTCAGCTTAGATCGAGTACGGGGTGTCCCGCCGGCCTGTTCCTAGATGTATACTTTTTATACAAAGTCTTTGTTTTTGTAAATATGTAAGAAGTGGAGGTTTTAAATGTGTTGCTGTTCTGCCTTTTTGTTCTTCTTCTTCTTCTTCTTGCTCCTCTTCCTACCCCACTCTTTAAATTTTAGTGTTCGCACAATTCTGAAATTTTTGAATTGTTCAAAGTACCCTATTTTCATACTTTTTAAGTATGTACAGTATATCCAAAATATGTATTTTGAAGAAGATAGATCACCACAATCTGACCTAACGGGAGTTCACCACAATTGTGACCCATGAGAGCTTCCATTTTAGATTTTTATTAAATGAATTAACTATTTCAGATTGTTTTACCTGACCGATGGTATGACATGATGGCCTTTGCTTGACCTCAAATGGATTGTTTGGAATTAAATCTCAGATTAAATGTGCTTACGAGGCTGTTGTCTGGGATGTGTTGATGGTTGTTTTGCTGTGCGTGCGGTGGAGTATCAACTTCTGAGGGTGTACTCTTCAGTTGTCTAGAAGCCCCTAGTGGTGGTAATACTATAGGAGGCAAGCAATGGTCTGAGGTAAATATGCGGGTATTGATTTTGAATCTGTATTGTTTGTTTTATGTCTTTGGTTTATTGAGTATCATGATCCCAAATGTTCCTCAGCTAATTGATTCTTATGCACGGTTTGTATGGAAGTGTTACAGGGTCACTTCGCCCACATCAGGAAGACTCGTAGGTGTGTGTGATTTGAGTGAACTGACCCTTTAATGGTATTTGATTTTAGCTGCTCCATTCTGAGCCCCTTCATTTAATTATTACTCATCATCTGGCCAATTAAATGATAACCTTATGGTATTTTAAAACTGTTTGAGCAGGAATGGAGGTCGTCGGCTTTATTGGGTGTCTGCTAGGCACAAACGTCAACATGTCTTCCTCTTTCTTCTTATAAACTGTTATCTTTTGTGTATGGTTTGCATCCATAACTTGTGTTTTTAATCCGCACAGACAACACTTTAACGGTACGTATGTTGACTACAGCAAGTGCCAGATTCATGGTGAAGTGATCCAAGTTCTAACTTGTGTTAACATGGCAGCTCAGTTACCGTTTTAGCTGATTTCTTGCCTTCTTTTTACATAAAATGTCATGGTTGCCTTAGCACAATTGAGTCACAGGTGCTTTTCATGCGTTTTCGTATTTGGGACCCAAAAACCCGGTGAGAATCTCCAGGACGTGTCGGCGAAAGTACGCCTGTCGCTCGGCCTCAACTGTTAATCATGCACCTTCAGTTCTACTTTGGTGTCATTTTTACCATTTTGCACTGCAGCACACTAAAACCTGCTCCGTGTGGTTAATGTTTCCCAATAAGTTCGAGCAGTTTGTTCATTTTTTTTGTACAGTACGTCAATATGCAATAGAAGTTTGTACAGTACATTATTATGCAAAGTAATTGGGTTTTTCAGGAGTCTGGCATGCTCAGATCTACTCTGTATGTTGTGAAGTGTCCAGAGGTAATGGATGTTAATGGGCATGTGGTGTTTTGACAATTACAATACTTTGATCTGACTTTGTATCCAATGCTGTCAGTTTGCAGGACTGACTGTGGACGTTACATACTTTAAAAAGTGACTGGATATACAATATCTGTGTGTTGTAATAAAGTTCTCATTTTTCAAATGGTGTCATCCGGCCTGTTGTGGTGTCTCTGTCGTTACAACATCTAGAAAAGTGGAACAGCTCTGTGGCCTTAAGCATGTTTCCGTTTTGCTGATCAACTGTTAATAGAAGTGTTTACAGTGTGCTGCCTTCAGGCCCTGGACTTTGTGTAAGGTGCCCTGACAGTTTTGATGTATCCCAGTAGATGGCAGCAATGTAAAGGGCTTAAACAGAGTAACTGGCCTTGTTAGCAGAAAATCTTTATTTGAATTCCACAGGTCTGAGCCAGTAACATACAAAGAAACAGACTCTTTCGTTGAGAGATATATTGCGTTAAGTAAGTTTAAGTTAGTCCAAAGCCAGTTTTTAACACCAAAACAGGTCAACTTTGTCATAGTCGTCTTTTAACGCACCTTAGAGGTGAGGTTCAGAAAGCTTCTCAGAGAAATGGAGCATCAAGATCTACTGTTCTATGAGGAATTACCAAATTCTACTGGATTATGTGACAAGGTGTATTAGTGGACAGTGAGTTGTGCTCTATTCAAGTCACCATTTCAGAGGAAGGCATAAAGCAGACTTTAAATACAGTCAGCACGTTCAAATCACTCCCTTTGTGGGTCATTAGACTATTCTGACTGTAGTCACTCGTGTAGGTAAAATAATTACTGCTAAAAGGAATTACATGTAGGCCATAGCTAATTACATTGGCATCGTCAAATGTCACTCACATTTTTTTTGTGAAGTGCCCGTGACATGTGCTGCACTTTGCATTTCTTGTCCTCACCCACAGTCTGTTTCTGAGACATTACAGACATCAGATCCATGATAGTAGTGTCTTGACTTGAATATTTCATTGACTGTCAGCCCAGCATCTGCTGACCTGCCTAACACGCAACATTCCCCTCTTACTGCAGACAGTCTGTCACTGTACATCAACCAGTGAAGCGTCAACGTGTCCACCACCTCTCCCTCTCCTCTGCCTCCGTGAATTTCTTACAAATAAGCATCATCACAGCTAACAAAGGACCGGCTTGGAAAGCAAACTCAGAAAGACACGCACGTTTGTGATGCAGTCATGGAAAAAGTAAGTAGAAACCTTTACTTTCCACCATATTCATGACATTATGATGGACATAAACCAAAAGATAGGTGTTTCTAAATGTGACAGATCCCTCAGCAGAAGAAGTACTAATGCTGGTAAATCAAACCCATTTTACCAACTAAGGAATCCAATGGTTGCAGCTTGCATTTAAAAAAAAAAAAAATCACAAATAGGCATCCACACATGCACGGATTGATGTCCATACCTCTGATTTATCAAGAGAAAAATAGCTCAAGCTGTGATCACTGAATTGTGCACACGTGCAAACATCCTTTTTAAAGTTTCATAATCTATATTGATCACCTTTGGCTTTGGCTGAGCTTAGTGCTCATTTAAGCCCATCTAACATGATCCATTCAACTGATGAGTAGTGGAGGGCCCTGCCAAACATCTGTGCCATGGGGACTCCTTTTGTCCTTTGCTGTGTCCCTTTAATCAGTGGGGCATGATGGGCTGTGTAGCACGGCATCTTCAAGAATTTCCCTTTTACATTTAAGACTTTGGTGAACACAGTTAGCCTTTTTTTCTAGTGTACAGTCATGTTATTTGCTTTAAGAGGCTGTATTTAGGCACATTAGTGCTTTGAACTAATGTAATTAGTCATGTAATTATGCAGATGTTTAGCAGGGGGCAATGATTACTATTCACCAATACAGTTTAACATGCTAGCACAGGAGGAAATGTCATTGTTTTGCAGGTATTTGGTCATAAATCAACATAATGGAACACCAAGGGGGCATACATATGTGGACCAAATTTCTTGGCAAGCCATTCAAGAGTCGAGACATTCCACTCACCCCCTAAAAATGTCATGAGACACCAGAAAAAGTTAAGGAATCGGAGTGCCATGGATGTACGTGCCACATTCCAAGGCAATCCACTGAACAGTTGTGGGATATTCCATTCATGCACTGACTGACTAGTCGAAATTAACATGTATAGAGTCATGCTGCTGCATTGAAAACACTATACACCTTGATATTCACTTTCATCACAGTAACTCCGCTTTCTGAGATAGTCAAGCAGATACAGCCTGATCACAAATTTATGGAATGGAGATGCTATCTTACAGAAGTGATCTCAGATTTTAAATCCAAGCTGTTCTTGGCCCAATGCCTCGCTTCCTGTATGTTTTCTTTTCCTTTAGTTTGTCACCTATTCTGACTCCTATCTACATAACTTAAACACCTTCCACCTCCTCTAAGAGCGCCCCGTGACAGTTCTCTGATTAAATGAGACTGATGCTCATCTGGCACCTTCACACTCTTGCTGTGGACAGAAGCGGTGAGAGCTGTGAGTGTGTCACTGCTGTTGGTGGAGCCTGCGTTCGTACTTGTTTCTTTCCACGTCTCCCGTCTCGTTCTGACAGTATCAGTAGTGTTCCAACAGGACTTTAATGGCTTGCCCTCTGCCACTCTTGGGAGGCTCTAGAGTAAGTGTTATGAGGAGAAAGACTTCTCCAGATGATGGGAAATGACGTGCCCTCCTTTCCTCCCTTTGCTCTGACTCAAAGACGGCGAGCAGCGTTGTGATGAAATACTATTTTATTACTTCTTTTTCTTCTCACTCTTGTGAAGATCAGACTCTCATCGATTCCCAGACTTGTGATCCTCCTTTTATTATTATTTGATTTATTCATCAAATGCCTTGCTGTAATTAATCTCTGCCTTCTTAGTTCTGCTTTGTGCCACTGATGTGGTTTATAAGCATCGTGTGGTGAATCACAATGCTTCCAGTTATGCTCGTTAGCTGATCTTGATTATAACTGCTGAATAGGGCCTGGTTCCACTGTTGGGCCTCATAACTTGCTGGTCTGTGATGTTGGCCAGGATAGAATGAACCTTCCCAGTGGACTTCCGCTCTTGATCAGACAAGAAGTGTTCGTTTGGACAGCGTTTTCCCCCCTTCATGCAGTCACCACCCTCCCTTTCTGCCTCATGGCTTGTTCACAAAGTCCAGCAGCATCCTTTGCAATTTCTTTCTGTCCTCTTGATATCTCAGTCCAGTCGCTCTTTTGCTCATAGACAAAAACTCACAGGGACACTCAGCCCAATTGCCTGCAGCTCAAAGTCACTTTTTCTGCAGATTGTGGCACATGTGCACAGAGTGAACGTAATCTAAGCAAGTGTCGTGGAGTGACGTGAATGTTCACATTATGTCAAGGAAAAAGGGCCTCAGTCTTATAAGGTTATATAAGCTAAATTTGTATTTTGCTTCTGTGAGTTATGTAGCATTTTGATTAACAAATACAAGGTTTAAAGGTCACTGATGCATGAGTTTTTAATTACAATGACTAATTACGCTTCTAGTGAGATTGAGACTGGGTGGAGCTGTGCAGGGAACAGCATGTCGGCAAACTCTGAAAATAATGATAATGAGATAAATTGTCCTTCCCTTACAGGTGCAGCAAAAGTTAGAGGAGGAGTGAAAGAGCTGTAAAGCAGGTATTTTTAAGTTCAAGGCCATGATTCTCTGTGAGCAACCAGTGGATAGCTTCCTCTGGGTTGGGGAGAGTTGCTGCCCCAAGCTAAGTAGTTTAAATATCTCAGAGTCCTGACTACAAGAGATTGGAAAATGGACTGTGAGATGGACAGGCGGCTTGGTGCAGCATCAACAGTAAAGCAGGTATTGTACTGGACAAATGTGATTACGAGGGAGCTGAACCGAAAGGCAAAGCTCTCGATTTACCAGTCGATCTACGTTCCAACCCTCACCTATGGTCATGAGCTCTGGGTAGTGGCTGAAAGAAAGATCACTGGCACAAGCGGCCAAAATGAGTTTTCTCCGTAGAGTGGCAGGGTGTAGCCGTAGAGATCGGACATGCGGAGGAAGCTTGGAGTAGAGTTGCTGCTCCTTTGCATCGAAAGAAGTCAGATGAACTGTTTTGAGCATCTGATTAATTAAGATGTCTCCTGGATGACTTCCTTTGGTGGTTTCACGGGCAGGTCCAGGTAGAAGGAGACCGTGGGGTCGACCCAGAATTTGCGAGAGATTATATATCTGCTGTAAGGTGGAGCGGTGGTTAGCACCATCGCCTCACAGCTAGAAGATCCCTGGTTCGCATCCCAGTTAGGACGCCCAGGATCTTTCTGTGTGGAGTTTGCATGTTCTCCCCGTGCAGCGTGGGTTCTCTCCAGGTTCTCCGGCTTCCTCCCACAAGGTCCAAAAACATGTTGAGGTTAATTGGTGATTCTAAATTGTCCGTAGGTGTGAATGTAAGTGTGCTTGGTTGTCTGTCTCTAAGTGTAGCCCTGTGATAGACTGGTGACCTGTCCAGGGTGTCCCCTGCCTTCACCCTGAGTCAGCTGGGATAGGCTCAATCCCTCTGCGACCGTAGTGAGGATTAAGTGGTGTATAGATAATGGATGGATTACATATCTCATCTGACCTGGGAACGCCCCGGGATCTCCCAGGAGGAAGTGGAAGGTGTGACTGGGGAGAGGGATGTCTGGAATGATCTGCTTCACCTGCTGCCTCTGTGACCTGAGTCTGGATAAGCGGAAGAAAACTGATGGATGGAAGTCCTGTCTCCAACTATTCCTACAGTGTTATTTTCTGACTTAAGTCTCGTTTTGACTTTCATTTTAAGTTGCTCCTTGTAGGTGTTTGGTTATGTTTAGACAACAAAACTACCCAGTTAGGTTTAAAAAAATAAAAAAAGGGATCTTGGTTTGGGTTAAAAATCTACCACATGCTACAAAGCTCCATTTTGTATGTTTGTAGGTTGACGACTCCACTATAGAGTTTACATGCATTTACTCACACAACAGTAAGAGGCTGCCAATGTTATCAGAGATACTTTCTTTTTATTAGAAAGGATGATAACATTCCTACTGAGTGAGTGAAAGAGGTCCCTACTGGTCCAAATGTATAGGAACGATATGCACTAATAAAAGACCATTTAAAGTGCTGATAACCTCCAAACTG